TTACAGTCTATGCGTTTATGCGCCAAAAGCTGAACGAAACCGCATGACTTGAATCGTGCCACACGTACCATTTATCCGATCGGACCAATGTTCAAAACGGCCGCGCGGCACGAGCTCTCTAGAGCAGATGCGTTTACTTGCTCACACGAGAATTAGGCAGCGCTGTGAGATCCAGTGTGAAGCTCTTGAACTCAGCGATGAACACAAATGTCTCTGTGATTTAAACTAGTTTAAAGCTAAACAGGAGAAACACTGTGTGCAACGAACGAGACAGTCAGAAGGCTTTTTAATCTACACATCACCATCATTTACCATGGATTTACTGTAGTAACACTTACTGCACCATGGTATTGTGGCACAAATAAAAGGAGGGACAAGTGGAGATACATTTTTGTGGTAATCAAAATTTTGCCACAATTTTTTTTCCAATAAACAGAAACTTAATAATGTAATTTTTCCAGACATTACTTGGGCACTACATGCTAAAATAGTGCAGAATATTGGAGAATATTATTACAATTTAAAATAAATGTTTTTCTAGTTTACCATATTTTAAAATGTAATTTATTTCAGTTATGCAAAGCTGAATTTTCAGCATCATTACTCCAGTCTTCAGTGTCACATAATCCTTTAGAAATAATTCTAATATGCTGATTTGCTGCTCAAGAAACATATCTTATTATTATCAGTGTTGAAAATAGTTGTGCTGCTTAATATTTTTGTGTAACCTGTGGTACATATTGTTTTTCAGGATTCTACAATGAATAGAAAGTTCAAAAGAACAGCATTTATTTGAAATAGAGATCGTTTACAACATTCTAAATGGTTTTACTGTCACTTTTGATCAATTTAATACATCCTTGATACTTTCCAAAAAATATTACTGACTCCAAACTTTTGAATGGTTGTGGATGTAAAATAAGAAACCACTATTGCGTCATCTTGGGTTTTTATGATCCGTTATTGCTAGTAAAAACACTGGAATAAGTAGCTAGTAAAACAAACCCATCATGCACCATTGGCAGACTTGTAACTTTTATTATCCATAATATTGTTCAACTACTGTTAAGATATGAGCCATCCAGCTAAAGTAATTGAGTCAGGTTTCAGTGCAAGCGAGGCAGTATTTGTACTCTAGCTGAAAATCTGTGGAAATATTATTCAGTATGTGGAGGGAAAAAAAGCGAAAGACAGAGAGAAACCGATAACTGTAATATTATATTATGATTTGTTCTTCTCATAGCAGAAAAGCTGTTTGGTTTTCCACCGTCCAATGAGATTACGCACATCAAATAACCACTAGAGGTTTTACGCTCGACTCACACACAAACACACAACTCTCTCTCTATCTCTCTCTCTTTCTTTGCCAACAATTCTTTTGTATCCCATCTCCATAACAACAGCCTGAGTGGCCGAGAGCGAGAGAGGACAGAGAGAGTGAGTTTCTAATATTCACCGCATGGAAAGGCGGAGCTGCGGAGAGCATGTGTGAGTGTGTGTGAGAGAGACGGAGATGCTCAGATGGTAGTGTGCAGGGGTGGAATCAAGGCGGTGTGATGACTTGAAGCACATCAGAGTAGATGAAGATGCAGGAGATCAGCTAACGCCACACATGGTGAGAAACCCACGCCTTTTACTTGATTTTGGCAGGGGACAGGTGTGAGAGAGATAGTGAGTGTGTGTGTGTGTGTGAGTGTGTGTGTGTGTGTGTGTGTGTGTGTGTTTGGCCAGCCTCGAAACAATTCTTTTGTATCCCATCTCCATAACAACAGCCTGAGTGGCCGAGAGCGAGAGAGGACAGAGAGAGTGAGTTTCTAATATTCACCGCATGGAAAGGCGGAGCTGCGGAGAGCATGTGTGAGTGTGTGTGAGAGAGACGGAGATGCTCAGATGGTAGTGTGCAGGGGTGGAATCAAGGCGGTGTGATGACTTGAAGCACATCAGAGTAGATGAAGATGCAGGAGATCAGCTAACGCCACACATGGTGAGAAACCCACGCCTTTTACTTGATTTTGGCAGGGGACAGGTGTGAGAGAGATAGTGAGTGTGTGTGTGTGTGTGTGTGTGTGTGAGTGCACGTGTGTGAGTGTGTGTGTGTGTGTGTGTGTGTGTGTGTGTGTGTTTGGCCAGCCTCGATCTTCTGAGGGTTTTATGTAACAGGCTGCAAGACCAGATATGGTAAGATAGAGCTACATTAATGTCATAGTATATGTTGCACTCGGCGGCGTATGCTGGACTTGTAAAAGGAGGAGACAAAGTCTTTGCTTTTGCATTTTTATATATTTATTTATTTATTGTGCTTAAATAGCATTTTGAGTTCTGGTGTATCATTTACATTACACTATGAACACCAAACCAACAATTTAATACTACAATTTCTTTGTTTAAAGGGGTCATATGATGCTTTTTTAAAGATCATTATTTTGTGTATTTGGTGTAACAGAATATGTTGGCATGCTTTAATGTTCAAAAAACACATTATTTTTCAAATACTGTACATTATTGTAGGTACTCTATGCCCCGCCTCTCTCAAACGCTTCGTTTTCTACAAAGTCCCTCCTTCAGATATGTGGGGGCGTGTTAGAACGAGCCGTTTTAGGGGGGCGTGGCAGAGTCTTAACTTTGATAAAGAATATCTCTTTGGTTTTGAGACTTTAGTCTTTGCAACTTCAGGGATCTTATCTATGCACAATCAGCTTGTAACACTCCAAAGAGAAAGGAAAACTTGAAATTGCATCATATGACCTCTTTAAATTAGCTTGCTATTTTTTTTTTTTTAATAAAGTCTCAGAAATTTTATTGCAAGATTTTGAATGTTACATTGCTTCAATATTATAATTGTAGTAATGCTGTGTTTTTGTTGTTAATATTTAACTGTTATTTAGTATTATTAATGCACAGGAAAAAATTATGGTGAAACTTTAAATAATGAAGTTTTCACGCAGAAATTGCTAGCAAATTTCACAAATAATTACAAAGAAATGGAAAATAACATTAAATTAAACCTGATTTTTTTAGAGTATAAATAATTTATTGTAAAACATACTACAATTATCTTTGTTTTATTTCCAACTTGGGGGGGGGGGGGGACAAAAACTTTGACAGTGTTGGCATCTTCTTTTTGGGCCATTTCTTAAGATGTCGGTAAAAATCGACTCATTCACAAATTATAATTTTTTTTACAGTTGTAATTAACATGTTTAAATTAACATACAATTTATTGATGACAAGTTTTCAAATGTTACATTGCATAAATATTATAGTTATATAGTTTTTTGTTACTACTAACTGTTATTTGAATATTTTTATTAATAGGCACCTCCTTTTTGGATGATTAGTTAAGAGGCCAGTAAAAATGGACTCAGTCACAGATTATCATTTCAGGTTTATTTAGATTTAGATGTGACAAAAAGTGACTTTGTCTGAGTCTGTGAGTTGTTTATTCTGTTTACTCCATCCATTTCCACTAGTTTGACCCATTCAGAGCTGATTTGTGGAACGGATGTGAACAGTTTCAGCAGGTATTGTCATACTGATAGAGTGATCAGCCAGTCACAGTGATGTGCTTCCATCACAACTTCCTCTCACATTACTTTTTGTTTGTATATTGTAGGGCTGCACGATATATCGAAATTATCGAAATATCGCAAATGTAAATATCGCAATATGCATATTGCAACGGCGTGCGATATCATTTTAATGATAGGCTACTTAAATCAAAATGTTGCAAAAGGTCAAAGTTTTAGTTCGACGCATATAGCAGAGAATTGCTTGACGTTAAAAAGAGTTGAGTGCAATAAGTTGCAGAAAACAACTCTTTGCCATCTCGTCTTGCTGTCTGACTCACACCTGAAGCGCACGCACAAGCCGCATCTCGCACAGTGTCTCTTCAGTTCTGCCGCACACCTGCAAAGCGCGTGACATTACTTTTTAAGTAATGCTAAAACACTGCTGGTCACTTTCAGAAGTTATAGTGATTCTTTATTTTCCAAGAAAGAATGTGAAACAAATTGGTTATATAATTTTCATTTTTAAATATTTTAAAATATCAATATTTTTTTATTGATTTTACACACTTTAAGCAATATTGTATCGCATATCGAATATCGCATTTTTTAACAAGGTATTGCATATCGCATTTTTCTTCAATATCGCACAGCCCTAGTATTTTGCCAGTAACTCACAACCACATTCATGTCATGTACAGTCTTTTGTTTTCTGTACAATGAACCCCGACATTCTTCAAATGTATCTTTTGTGTATTTGAGCTGTAAAGTTATTTAAATTGTCCTTTTACGACTTGTGGTTATACTATTGCATTGCATTGTCATGCCTCAAGCTTATTTTATTTTATTTATTTATTTTTGATAAACTGGGGGAAGAGTCCAAATATTTTTGTTGTTATGTTTTTTTTTGTTTGTTTGTTTTTTAATTATTAGTTTGATGTGCCACAGATTGTACAATTGAGCATCTCTATGAAACTCTTGGCCAAAAGATCTCTGTTATCGTACTTGTTAGCACACACACACACACACACACACACACACACACACACACACACATATATATATATATATGAAGTTTTCATTCTTGCATGATAATGGTTTGTGTGACAGGTCATGAAAAGATACTGTGAAGTTTTTGGGTGAAGGAAACCAGCTGTAGCTAGCATTTGATTTTCATTTCAAAGTAGACACTCTTGTGAAAATGTTGTTCAGTGCTTTTTGAAATAATATGTTATATGATATTAAACAATGAATTGTGGATCAGGATTGCAGCATCAACACATTTTCTAATGTATTTGTTAAGGCTTTTGTCTGTGTATCTCCGAAAAGCTCAAATTAAGTCATTTCTGTGGAGTACTGTGGAGCTTTATTCCATCTCTGTTTCTTCCGCTTGGGAAAACTCGCCTGTTTTTGCTTTTATCCTTCATTTGCATTATTCAACTTGCCTCACATCTCTCTCCGTCTCTCTTTCTCTCGTTTTTCTCATTCCCTCAGGCTAACTTGAAGAAGTTTATGGAATATGTTCAGCTAAGGAACGTTGAGAAGGTATCAAAGTTTCTGGAGAAAGGGCTCGACCCAAACTTCCACGACCCAGAGACCGGAGGTAAGCGACACCACCTTTCCTAAAAAGTAAATTCACTAACATCTTCCAAATACCCAACTGTGTGTGTGTGAGTGTGTGTGTGTGTGTGTGTGCACCTGAGCGTACATGTTGACTTTGCTTGGGACTGTTAAATTGGTGCCATGACCCGATCTCTCAGCGTTTATCTGTTGGCTCTGGGTCAGTCAACAGTAGCTGAATTTGAACTGAAGCAGTCTTGCATGCTGTACGGTAATAGTGGGTATCCATTTGAACCATATTTGTGTGATTGTTCGGTTTGATGATCTTTTTGGCCCCCTTAAAAGATGTTAATAATGTTGTTAAAAATGTGGAAAGGTTGGTTTCAAATAATTTATTATTTATGTGTACGGTTTGTTGTTTTAGAATTTTTTTCCCCGAATACTGCTTCCTTTATCATTATAGCATGCATTAAAAAACTTTATTTTTGGTTTTGTTTGAAATGAGAAGTGACGAGAAATAATAAGAAAAATATACACATTTATTAGTAGTAGTAATAATGTATTTTAGATTTTTACATCATGATCTGAAAATATTTTTGTTAAAGTTTTGCTGAATTTTAATTCATTAGTCATCAATTTATTTAATTTTTAGGTTAATTCACTGCTAGCTAACTTGTATTAACATATTATATCTTAATTCAGCTTCTCAAAAATGTCATTGGCATCACATACCATGACAAAAATGCTCATCGCACATTATTTAGCAAAACCATGATCAGATCTTATTCCATACATGTGTTAAAAGTTTTAACATAAATAAAAAATATAGATTAAAGTAATTTCATTGTTCTAGTAGTTAAAAGCGTCCCTAATCAAAGAATCCAAAGAATTCTAATCAAAGATCTGACCTCTGGCCACGGTGATGGAGAGGAATTGTAGAGTTTGTGTTTGTATGCATACATGTAATTGTTACAGATAGAGCAGCTGCGACTTCCAGGTTGTGCAGCATCTCACAGTCAGTGTTAAATTTGATCACAGCCCATGTATCCTTGACCTTTGAAAGAAAGAAAGAAACGGAAGAGAAAGATGGAATCAAAATACAATAGGCTTAAAAAGACACTTCACCCAAATATAAAAAAATGTTGTTGCCATATTGTTTCAAACCTGTAACTCTATTTATTTTGTGGAACATAAAAGGAGATTTTTTGCAAAATTTTCAGGGCCCATCAAGCTCCAAAAGCACCTTTAAAAAAAATTATTGACAGTCCCTGTGGTTGTTGTATAAAAAAGAGCAGCGTGAACATTCTTCAAAACATCTCCTACTGTATTTATTGGAAGAAAGCAAGTGTTTGTTAACACATTCCTATAAAACGGATCAGAAATGCACCAAAAATGTCAACTGTTGTTTCTCTGTGCTCAGAATGTCCATTGACAATGGCGTCGCAGCTGGAAGGTTGTGCAGAGCTCATAAAGGTTCTGAAGAATGGAGGAGCTCACCTGGATTTCAGGACCAGAGACGGCATAACTGCCCTTCACAAAGCAGTCCGCACCAAGAACCACACGGCACTTATTGTGAGTAACGTGCACACTCATCCTGCTGAAAATAAGAGGGAACATGGGGTTCTCATACATACTTGAAAGAGACATCAGAGGTGTGTGTGTCTGTCCAGACATGAGTCATAGATTGGCACAAAGATGAAAAGCGTTCATTGACACTGGGCTGTATAAAAGCTTGCTGTGTTTTATAATGATCAGAGCAGATCTTTTGCTGGAGCAGAGGACTCTGATGTGTCATCTGAAGTTCAACTGGAAGAGGCATATCAGTGTTGTTTTTATATGTCAATGATGTATTGATCACAACATTAAGGATAGAGAGAGGCCAGGGTAGTTGTCACAATGTGGTATCTCAGGAACTATAACATTTTAATTAAATCAGCATTGTTTTTATGTTGTTTTTCAAAAACCTAATTCATTATTTTCCTCCAGGTCTGTCTTTTCTCTGAATATTTATGTCTGACATACAGGTGGGGTTTAGCTTGATGTCAAACCTCACCCTTTTCCACACTGTTCCTCTTATTCATTATACAGTACCTTTTGAATGTGAACTCATGAAACGAGTCTTGAATGACTTGTCACGGCTAATAAATCGGCTTGGCCGTTGCAGTCTAGACTCATTCTCAGATAGCACACCCACAGTCCATTCACTGATCGCCTAATGCATATTGCATTACAGAACTGGTAGGAGCTTGCAGAAAATCTTCAAGGATAAGCTGCGAAGTGCTCCAGACTTAATGCCGATAGTCAAAAGTCTTACTTTACTGGTAAGGTTGTTGGTTCAATCCCCACAAGAGGCGATCCTTGAACTTTCGCTACCATACCCTTGTGCGAGACACAAAGATATGCCATATGCAATTTTTTTATGGAATAACACGCAGAAAATGTCCTAATACTTGAAAGGTATCACTGAAATAGTCTCGGTGACAACCTAAGGCTCTGTGAAAAGTGAAAAAGAATCTGACTGTGGGGCGCTGCAGCCAAACTTTGAAGCACTCTTGGCCTGTTAGTTTACAGCATCGGGTTTGCAGACTTGTCTATTAAGGGCAGTGTTTTGGAGAAAAGAGGCAGGCTAATTGATTGGTGTAATTGAGAGAAGTGAAGATGACTTGTGTGTGCAGACGCTGCTGGATCTGGGCGCCTCTCCGGATTACAAGGACAGCCGTGGCCTGACTCCACTCTATCACAGCTCTATGGTGGGGGGTGACCCGTACTGTTGCGAGCTCCTGCTGCATGATCACGCTCAGGTGGGCTGCATGGACGAGAATGGCTGGCAGGAGATTCACCAGGTAACACACTTGTTTTAACATGTTCTTGTTCTCAAAGGTTAATGAATCAAATGCCAAATTTATACTGCATAGATGCGCTTCTGAAGGGGCATTGACACAAACTGTGTTCAGAGGTGGCAAAAATGCATTTCCACAGCAATTACAACTGTATGCTTTGATACTAAGGGCTGACGCGGGTCAGAGCAGGTATAGTTTAGTCTGGCTTTTATGCGGTATTGCACATCTACACATAATTTTGAGCAGGCATAGAGCAGCCTTAACTCCACTGTGTAAAGACACCTTAAGCTGCAAAATTGGGTCATTCAGAATTCAAATTAAGACTTTCATTTAGCAAAGATGCATTGAATTGATCAAAATTGAAATTTTTAATGTTACAAATGTTTTCTATTTCTAATAAATGCTGTTCTTTTGAGATTTCTGTTTGTTGAAGAATCCTGAAAAACAACATGTGCCATCGCCTCCACCAAAATAATAAGCAGCACAACTGTTTTTAGCATTGATCATAATAATAATTGGTTATTGAGCAGCAAATTAGCATATTAGAATGATTTCTGAAGGTTCATGTGACACTGAAGACTGGAGTGATGATGCTGAAAATTCAGCTTTGCATCACAGGAATAAATTACATTTTCCAATATATTCAAAATGAAAATTGCAATAATATTTCACAATATTACTGTATTTTTGATCAAATAAATGCAGCCTTGGTGAACATGAGAGACTTTCAAAAACAACAAAAATATCTTACCAACCCCAAACTTTTGAATGGTATTGTAAATACATGTTCAGTATTCAGCAGCTACTCTGTGTTGAGGTCAGCCAATCATAACCCAGATAATTTACATAAAATCTAAGTATTAAAGCAGTGTGGGTCTCCTCAGGGTTAAAGAGATCAAATTATGGCTGTTTTTGATGCAAGAAATGTTGATGAACATTATAAGTGGACTTCAGGGGAAATAGTACTACAACAAAATCCTAAAAACCTTTATAGCACGCTCACTCGGTCAGGTCACAGTTGACTTACAATCGGCTGACCCTGTGGATTACTGCGGGGTAATACAGTAGGAGATTGTATTGCAGGGGCTTTTTCTCCATCTCTATTCATGTTCTGGAGGCTGGCCAGGTACACACGCTTACTTCTAAACTATTTCTCTCAGTTAGCAGCCCCTGGTGCATGACATTTGCATTCATGACATCTGACCTTTTCAAAAGCTTGAAAAGGATGAGAGAGAAAGAGAATATCAGAGAGAGACGGAAGTATCCATACTTGTGTTTTAACCTCCGCACAGGATCTAAAAATGAATCACCAAGTGTCAAATATGAGTTAAAATAGGCTTTGGCAAGTAAATAAGACTGATTTGCTCAACAGTTTTCTTGTGACTTTATTAGGACATATTGTATAGCTTTCTTTATACCATCTTTGTTTTTATAAACATATCAATATTGGTGCTAATGCTAATAATAATAATGATAATTTAATATATATTTTACACATTATTTATGAACATTAATTAGTATTAATATTATTAAAGTTAATATAATTACTCCTAATGAACAAATATATAATATATTATTATTCTTGTTCGTATTATGTAATATAGAATTAATATTACTGTACACACACACACACACACATATACAAAAGTAATTATAGTTGTATATTACATAGTAAATACAACATATATGCACACACAATATTATTATTATTTTCATTATTACTGTTTTATTATTGTTTTATCAACATATCAAAATTATAAATATATAAATAAAGCTATGCATATTCTATTATTATTATTATTATGGTACTACATAATTAATATTAATATTGGTGTAAATGTTGCAGATAATAACTATTATTTTTATTATTATGATTATTGTATGTACTATGTAATTAATATTAATATTGGTGTTAATGTTGACAATAATAGTAACTATTATTATTATTATTATTTTTTTATGTTTTTATAATATAGTTGCTTAGACTTTTAAATAATCCTTAAATTATCCAATTATCAAATAAATCAAGTAAATCATTAATTGCAGCCCTATTTGGCATTTCAAATTCAACTGCCTTACTTAAATGATTTTAGCAAGTGGCTGCAATATAAAAAAGAGTGAAAATTTAAGGGGGTCTGAATACTTTCCGTACCCACTGTAAACATCCACTTCCTCCCATGTCTCATTTCTTCTCAGGCTTTTCTTGTCTTTTTCTGTATTATTTTACAACATACATGTTGCTTTGCTGCTTTGCAAGCAGTGAAATTATTGATATGATTGTTTCTTTTTGCCGTGCTTTGAGAGGAAAGATGAGAGCTTGCGGTCTCTTTTCTGTTTATGAAAAACAGTAATTTTGCAGCCGCAGCTGAGAGCATCACTTTTGGAAACGGATGGATAGATGGAGGCATAGATGCCCTGAGGCTGGACAGAGCTGCTGGGTCAGATAGGACTGTGTGTGTGTGTATATACACAGCTGTACCGATGCCGCCACTGTGAGTTTACAGTGTTTAACCCAAGGCTCATTCCCAAAATTAGATCAGGCCCAAAAATGTGACGGACATGCTATTAAACGGTGTTACCTACACCTCACAAACACACACTGCCCTCAGGAGTCTTGCCTTTAGTGTGGCAGAAAGGAGAGCAGTAGTTGACAGGACTGATTTGTGTGTGTGTTTGGGAAGGCGGGCACTTTTCCTATCATAATATTTATTTTTCCACCACTCTCCCTTCCTTCAAATGTTCTCATCCATCTGTCTGACCTACACTTGTCATTTCTAAAGAGAACCTATGGCAACCCGAGCAAATGCCAAGTGTGTGTTTCGATGAGACTGCTTTTCACTGTAGTTTTTCTAGTTTAGATAGTCATCCTTGCACATCGGTGTGTGTGTTTTTTAAATGGCTGTGTATGTTGTACATCACTGAATGAATGGCTAATTTTGAATCTGAACATTCATTTCTGTCTCTTTCTGTCTCTCATTATACATTGACAATTATAGGGAACCTACTATGCAAACACACTGTGGAACTGTTGAAGTAAAGCTAACATTAGCTCAGTTCAAAAACCTACACTGCCTACATGGACAGCATTTTAATTATGTTGCCTTCTAAGGTAACTTTTAGCCAACTTTTTAAATCGGCTAAAAAGCAATAGAAGGAAATCCCAGAATGCATTGGTACAAGCTCAATGAAAAAAAAAAAAAACAAGATGATGGATATGAATTATCTACAATTTATGGTACATGTAATGTCTATATAATTAAAATAAGATCATAATATTTTTTCTAATTTTTTCTTTGTAGAAATCCAATTTTATCCATTTAGGAAAATCATAATATAATCTCTCACAAATATTTTGTGCAAACGTTTCAGTTTGCCTGAAATTGTCTTGCAGTGTCATTTTTTTAATTGAGTGGGTCCTGGGTTAAAAATGAGGCAACACTATCTGTATGAAATGTATTTGTAAAATCTAAGTACGTCAGAAAACATCTCGGTTATGTATGGTAACCCTCGTTCCCTGATGGAGGGAACAGAGACATGGTGTCGAGTGTACGACACTAGGGGTCGCTCTTGGGAGCCCAAACATCTCTGACATCTTTGAGAAGAGGCCAGTGAAATTTGGTGTGCAGAATTTGCATAGCTGGCCATGCCCTGGACATCCGAGTATAAATAGGCCAGCGTGGCATTGGCTCACTCGTTCTGTTCTGAGGAGTCAAGAAGCGTCTCAACCCACTCAGAGGCAATTCGGAGTTGTGGCATGAAGGACACAACGTTTCCGTTCCCTCCATCAGGGAACGAGGGTTGCCATACGTAACCGAGATGTTCCCTTTCTGTCGTTCTCGCTGACGTTGTGTCGAGTGTACGACACTAGGGGTCCCTATACTAAACGCCACAACTGCCGAACTGCGTCATGAGTCCATGGGGGCGCAGATGCTGACAAGCCACCTCTCCTCCTTGTAACCTTCCAACACCCAGGACTTAAGACCTCACTCTCCAACGTCTGGGAGAGCTGCCATAGAGGTAGAGGTCCTTTCAGCCAGAGCCTTTTCCCATAGTAATACTCACCATAAAATAACAGCTGAAAAGTCTTGGTAGTACTGTTGGGACAGTGACTATTCCCCCTAGGGGAAAAAAAGCACTACAGAGATCACATTCTACCCGATAGGGAGGTAACTTGTGAAGATCCACCTATGGACATACAGAGGAAGTACCACATAGGGAAGGTACTGGGGTGGGCTCCGCGTAAGGGGAGATCTACCAAGACCCAGAACCTATCGACAGAATGTATGTCTAGGGGAACACTGACCCTCAGGTGTAATACAGTAGAGAATACACACATGGGGCCTCAAGAGGAGCCACTACAGGTGGAGCACTAACCCAATACAAGAGTTCACTCGAGGGAACCTACCTTGCAATGAGTTCTAATAGCAAGTTCCTCTGTCGAACTTTGCTAAGAAAAAGTGCTTATGTGATGGAAGGGTAGTCCAGAGTTTATGAAAGGAACCTGAGCTGGACTGAATAAGCGCATAATTACCCTGGGGGGAGTAGCGCTGGTAGCACGCTCTACACCCTGCAAGTCTCCAGAGTCAAAGAACTGACGTTCAGAACTCTAGAAGAAACTGGTTCCATTCGTAGATTATAAAATCTAGCAAATCTATTAGGTGTAGTCCAGCCTGCAGCTCTACAAATATCTGCTAGAGAGGCCCCATTCGCCAGGGCTGCTGATGCAGCCATGCCCCTAGTAGAGGGAGCCCTCACTCCCTGTGGGCAAGGTAGGCCTCTGGCCTGATAGGCCGTTAGGATCACATCCACAATCCAGTGGGAGATCCTTTGTCTGGAGACAGCATTCCCCTTCTGCTGTCCTCCAAAGCAGATAAAGAGCTAAGTATGTGCGTAGGGCTTGCACTGGGCACAACAGATACAGGTCGGGGTCCCCTTCTTGGAAGGGGATAGCTTGCAATGTTACCACATGGTCCCTGAAAGGAGTGGTGGGAACCTTGGGAACATATCCAGACCGAGGTCTCAGGACAACGTGAGAGTCTGCCGGCCCGAACTCCAGGCATGATTCGTTAATGGAGAGGACTTGGAGATCCCCCACCCTCTTGATAGAAGTGAGCGCAGTCAGGAGGGCCGTCTTCATAGAGAGGGCACTGAACTCAACTGACTGAAGGGGCTCAAACGGATCTCTCTGTAAGGCCTGCAAGACCACAGTGAGATCCCAAGAGGGAATGAGATGTGGCCTCAGAGGGTTCAACCTCAGCGCCTCTGAAGAACCTAATAACCAGATAGTGCTTCCTCACCGATTTGCCTCCCACGGTGTTGTTGTGGTTAGCCACAATCACAGCCACGTACACCTTAAGTGTAGAAGCAGACAAGTGCCTGTCCAGACCTCCTTGGAGGAAGGAGAGCACAGATCGGATGGCACATCTCTGAGGGTCCTTCCCCTGGGAAGAACACCAATTCACGAAAACGCGTCACTTCAGGTCGTACAGCCGCCTCGTCGAGGGGGCTCTGGCCTAAGTAATGGTATCCACCACTGCATGTGAAAGGTCTCGGAGTTCCTCCTGTTCGCATCTTCTGGGAAGAAAGGCACCGGGGGCGAGTGTCGCGCTCAGCACCCAGAAACCAATCATCCAGCCGTGAGCGCTCGGGGCAGGGTGGGGGAGACTACTCCATTCCGATGCTCTTGGATGCCCGGGCAAGCACAGCTGCCATCTCAGCGTCAGCCTTGGACTGAGGCTCAGCGCCCATAGGTGCTTGCTCAGCCGAGTCATCTGCTTCCGATGGCTCAAGCCTGTCCGCCGATGCTGCAATCGACAGCTCGTCATGCTCGCGAGCCGGATGGGGCTCAAACTCATCCGGAAACTCTACCGGTAAGCACGAAGCAAGGGAAGAACGGAAAGCTTGCAGGGATTGCCTTGGCAAAACTAATCCCTCCTCCACATGCTCTTCCGCGGCACACATCGCTGCAGCCTCATATCTGGAGGTAACCAGAGCGGCAAGCAGCCGCGGTGACTCTGGGTCTTTTGGCGGAAAACCTGAGCCGCGAGCGCAACGTGCCGATGGGAAGTGCCTCGCAAGCGGGGCACGAACCATCCACAAGCGCTGCCTCAGCATGAACATGGCCCAAACACTGAATACAACGTGCCTTCATGCCACAACTCCGAATTGCCTCTGACTGGGTTGAGACGCTTCTTGACTCCTCAGAACAGAACGAGTGAGCAGATGCCACGCTGGCCTATTTATACCCGGATGTCCAGGGCGTGGCCAGCTATGCAAATTCTGCACACCCAATTTCATTGGCCTTTTCTCAAAGATGTCAGAGGTGTTTGGGCTCCCAAGAGCAACCCCTAGTGTCGTACACTCGACACAATGTCGGTGTGAACTGCAGAAGGGGAAGTAAAAACATTTTTTTATATTTATTATTATTTTGTTGTTGTTAACAGTAATTTCATAATATTATCATTAATAATAATAATAATAATAATGATCATTTTGTTATTTTACTAACAGTAATAATATCATAAGACGAAAATCAACAACAAAGATTGAATTCTTAGGAGTTTTTAAATTAAGTTAATTATTATTATTATCGACAGTGATATCATAGTATTATTGTTAATAATAATAATAATAATAATAATGTTTTTTTATTTAATAACAGTAAAATATCATAAGACCATCAACAACAACAATTAAATACTTAGGAAAAATAAGAGTGTCACGGGTTGCCTACTGTGGTGGAGACGAGGAGATGAAGGAGCGTGGCGACGAAGAGGATTAACAGGAAACAGTCTTTATTTCTACAAATAAAGAACGCACAGACAGGAACTCACACGTAGGATGAGGGGTTGACGTTCAATTCCAGACAAGGGAGAACAGTACGGGCTCGAACTAAAAAAGGGCAGATAACGAGGGGCAGACAGGTGATGAGGATAACTAATAACAAGGAACAGGTGATTACTAATAATGGGAAAAGGAACTGGAAGGACCAAATAAGGACAAACAGGAACTAAACAGGAACACATACGTGACAGATATTATTAGTAACATTAATATCATAATATTATCATTAATAATAATAATAAAGTTTATAATTTTTGTTATTTTACTAACAACAGTAATATCATAAGACCATAATCAACAACAATGATTAAATACTTAGGAAAATAAGTTTTTTAATTGAGTTTATTATTATTATTATTATTAGCATCATTAATGGTAATATCATAATATTATTATCATAAGACCATCATCAACAACAACAATTAAATACTTAATTGGAAAAAGAAGAGTTTTTAAATTGAGCCTGTCCTCTTTCATGTGCAACAGGACATTTTGTCAGTCAGTGTCACTGTAGCATCTCACTGTCCAGTGATAATTGCAGCGACACATTTCTTGTTGCTGAACTTGGTTAGCAGCGATGTATTAACCATAAGGGCATCTGGACAGCGCGTCCAGCAGGTCACCATACAGAGCTATATAAATGTTTTCAAACCGCAGGAGACGCCAAAAACCTCTCCCAGACTGCATGGCCAAAGATGAGCAAACGCAACAATGAATGTTAATTGGCCCCTGTGCTGGAGAACGATTGGTACTCGTGGATCGGTGGTACTCGGCCCCTGGGAGTCCCACACATGCCCCGTCACTAATCCTGCCCCGCTCGCTCACTCTCTGTGTCTATCTCTCTCTTTTCCGCTCTTTCTCAGGCAGACAGCTTTTAAGCAGTTTTTCTACATTCCACACTCCATTAGTATGCAGAGAGGACACGTTTTGAATTATGGTGGAAAGAAAAGTGACATTGATAACACCAAACAAAGGCAAACAGTTCTGCTCTTTCTCATTTCATAAAGCAAGAACATCAGGATGTGAGAGCGAGTTGTGTGTGCGTGAAAGAGAGAGGCGGCAGCTATTGTTTTACTCATTAACATGATTCTAGTTCTGTGCAGACTGCAAATTGACACAAAATGGAAACAGCCACAACGATGCAAAGTTTTTATGTGTGTGTGTTTGTGTGTCGTCAGGCTTGTCGTCATGGACATGTGCAGCATCTGGAACACCTGCTGTTCTACGGAGCGGACATGAGCGCTCAGAACGCTTCTGGAAACACTGCCCTGCACGTGTGTGCTCTCTATAACCAGGTGACACACACTCATTCACTCATACTGTATGCATTCGCTTAGCAACCAGATAACACACGTCAAACTCAGATGCTTGAACCCACAAGGACACACTCAATCATACTGAAATATCTGCACTCTTTTCAGCCAGGAAAAATTATCAGATGCAGACATTTGTGTATACGTGGCATTAGCAATTTTTATAATGTGTAATATGTTGTAATATCAGAGTTAATGAGCGTATACAAAGCAGCAAGGTCACAGATTGTTCATGCAGTCACATAGAAGCACAAAGAGTGATCTCATCCTCAGGTGTGTGTGTGTGCGTTTGTTTGTGTGTTTGTGTGTGTGGCGGGCTCATGCATTTTAATTCTGCTCTTATTATGTATTAATGGATGCTCCCACAACACACACCCACACAAACACAAAGGACAGTCCTTTAGGACTCGCCTGAAAACACATGGAGTCACAGAACTCACATGTGCTGTTCTCTCTCTCTCTCTCTCTCTCTCTCTCTCTCTCTCTCTCTCTCACACTCACTATTGAAACTGTTATTGCTATTGAATGGTCTGTGAACCTGCTTTTACTGTACATCTCAATTGCCTGCTCTAATATAGAGACTAGCTGATATATTGGTTACACTAATAGGCTGAACTTTGGCTATTTTGCGGTTTGTTTGTTTTTTTGGATTGAGGATGTATAATACTGTAAATATAAACAGAGTTTTACAATATATACATATACTATATATAGTATGTACTATAAATACAATTTGAGTAAATAAATAAGAGTTTATAGTATTTAAAAAAAAAAAAAAA